CATCATCATCATCATCAGTGCGCCAAACAAGGTGAGACGTAAATGAAAGAAAAAAAGAGAAACAAGCAGCACCATAGTATTCCACAAGTAGAGAAGAAGGCAACAAAACAAAACCAGGAGGAAGCTTTGTTGAAGAAATAATATTAGAAACACTGTAAAAAAGGGAACAAGGGAGTAAGTTTATTTAAAACAAAAGGCAATGTTAAATTTAGAATTGCGGATAGAAGATTTGATAATGGAAGATTTGCGGATGAGTCAAAGGAAGTCAAAATTTGTATTTGCGATAATATTGAAAATGTATGTTTAAATTTTATATTGGAAATTGAATAATTAAAAAAAACAAAAAAGAAAACAAAACCAAAAAAACCAGGAGACCAGAGTATATAGCTGGGGTGGGTGTGTAGAAATCTCCACAGATAAATTTTATGGGGCAAACTTGGAGCCACCTCACAATAAAAGCAGAAGCTGCCAATTAAAAAGAAAACTATTCATGGTGACACTAAAGGAGACCATGAGCAGTTGACTTTTGCTCCAAGTTTAATCTTTCCTAGTTTTTCAAAATACATCACGGTTATCCTTCTCCATCCAGAATATTCACAAAAGCAATCCTAAAGTGTTGGAAATGAAGTACAGTTGTATAATGAAGTATTGAGACTTCCCTCCACCCCAACATGGGTCCTCTACATCTCTGTATTAACTGCATATTGAATAATATCTAGTTTATAATTATCCATTATTTCCATAAGTTATGTCACATGCTGAGCAGTTGACTTTTGATCACATTTCCTCAAAACTGCCTTCCAGTTTTTTCAGAGCAATCCTAAATGATGTCAGGGAGAAAGTGCAACAATGGCAGCTCTATTGCTTTGTGCCAGCCAAGACAGTAGGTACAGGGAATGTTGCTTTGCGATTTTTCACTATGCCAATTTCAGGGTCCCTTAGGGGATTTGCGGAGCTTTGTATGAAGCTGATCCAAAGCTTTTGGGTGACAAACCTTGAACCCTTTGGGGGCTTTCTGCTTGCTATTACTAGGGGGAGAATCACCTTCCTGGGCACAGCTGCAGGATAAATTGGTTTATCCTGAATTTTAATTGATTTATCTGTTATAAGGGGTTGCCTGCCATCATTTTAAACCATTTTAACCAGCTTGATATGCACAAACCAGCAAGGCAAGTTATTCAAAGTATAAACATTATACCCTGACTGTGCATCAGTTGACTCCAATAGGCACAGCTTCAGTGATTGCTCCAAAAGCTAGTAATCCCATATTTCTTCAGAAATAGTTAGTAGCCTGAGAAAAACAGAAGCACCCATATCCCTTGCTCTAGGATTGAAAACGTTTAATGAAGAGCAAGCTTTAAATGATGTAAATAATAAGAATGATGATGATATATTGAAACAAAGCCCCACCCTTTCCTGACATTGAATGGTTTTGGATTGGAATCAATTACACCAATCTGCATATTAATCTGTTTACCACACTTCTGTATATTGTGAAAAGGGAATTAGTTGTCAAATATTTTCTGGCCTTGCCTCCATGGAATGCAGAAATTGAGTAAGTTAATAAGTGAAACGTGCAACCTTTCAAACAGCTAAAAACAGACCGTTTCACAGCCTTCAGAGATTAAAGAATGTATTGTCCAGAGGGTGGAGGAGGTCAGAGTGTTCATTCAGCAAAAATAGAAATCAAAATGAAGTAAACCAGGAATGTTAAACCTTACTTAAAACAAATTAAAACATTTCCAAAACATTTTTTTTCTTTTGCTGCTCTTAAATTTACAAGGTTAGCAGCCAAATGCTGTGCATGTTTACTTGAGTTGGAAATTGGTTCCACTTAGTGCAGTAGGACTTTACTTCCCAGTTGCTTTGCTCTACTAGGGAGTAATGCTCATTGAATTAGATGTGATTACTCAACTAAACCGCCTTGGGTAAGAGTGTTATATGGTCTTGGCATCCGCTCCCAGTCACCAGTCTGGCTGCCACATTCTGGATTTGTTGTAGTTTCCGGGTCACCTTCAAAGCTAGCCCCAAGTAGAGAGCATTGCAGTAGTCCAAGTGGGAGATTTAACTAGAGCATGCACCACTCTGGAAAGACAGTCTGCGAGCAGGTAGGGTCTCAGCCTGTGTACCAGATGGATCTGGTAGACAGCTGCCCTGGACACAGAATTGACCTGCACCTCCATGGACACCTCCAAAATGACTCCCAGGCTGCACACCTGGTCCTTCAGGGGCACAGTTACCCCATTCAGGACCAGGGATTCCCCCACACTCACTCGCCCAGTCCCCCCAAAACAGTCTTGTCAGGATTTAACCTCAATCTGTTAGCTGCCATCCATCCTCCAACCACCTCCTGACACTCACACATAAGTCTTTATGAATTAAAACCAGAACTTCTTGAATTGTGCTCAGAAATGTATAAGCTGTCAGAGCAGTTGGGCCAGAACAGGTTTGCTACAAGGTGATGCTCTGACCCTAGCTATTAATTTGGCTCGTAGATTTTACACTAGCTGCAGCTGCAGCTTTTCTCCACCTACCTAAAGCTGTTAATAATCTTCTGCACAACTTTAAAAGATACAGGAGCCCCTTTTTCCCTTTAGCATAAGGATGGGCTGAAAAAAGGGAAGAGAAGCAACAAACTTGTTTGAATATAAGCAGATTTGCTCAGTGCCAAGATTGGAGAGCTTGTTTACTGTTTTGAGTTCTGCAGGAAAGGCAAGAAAGAAACAGGCATCACCTGTTGATTTTCTGCCTAACATATAGCTCTTGAAGGTGCAGAATGTCTGCCCATAAGAAGGTGGTAACACTTTGCTAAGCCCAGGAAGCCACAGCATTTAGCAAAGCAAAGAATCCCGATGCAAGCCAGAATGACTGCTGTTAATCACGCTGTGAGCAATTTAAAAGGTATCTACGGCGAGGATTTTGTACTGTTATGTCAGCGCTTTTTCATCGCAGAGTATTGCTTTGTCCAATCTTCTTAAAAGCATTGTAAAATTTGCACTTCTGCTAATGACCAAATGACCACTGCAAGCATTTTGCTATTCTAGTTTTTGTGGTTGAAAGATAAAGCTGCTGGTTATGTACAATGTGACTTTTTTGTGCTCTACAAAGAACAGCAGATTTTCCGTTTGCGTAGGGTAGTGTCCTTGCTTCTCATGAGAAATGATTAACAGTTTTGTTAAACATTTGGTGGGAAGCGGCATGGAGCACAACCGAGGTTTCTTGGTGATGGTCTAGCAAGTTGTACTGTCAGTGCAGAATGCCAATTGACGCATCTTGTAAGAACTATAATTAATATAAGGCAAGATTTACTTCCAAACCCCATTGATTTCAGTGAGAGTAAAGTATATAGATGTTTAAAAGCACATTTCCAAAAAAAATCCAGAGTCCTTCTGGTTGGGGATAATTCAGAGGGAAATTCCCAGTTGTCAAAAAAGACTATTTATGTATGCTACAGGGATCCCTTTACCCGGTGGCGTAGCGCGGGGGGTGCAGGGGGGGCCGGCAGCACCGGGCACAACATCTGGGGTTAGGGCAAATCCACGGGTTAGGGGGTGCAAATCCACGGGTTAGGGGGCGCAAATTACTTGCCTTGCCCCGGGTGCTGACAACCCACGCTACGCCACTGCCTTTACCTTTACTTTACTACTGTGGCCCCCAAATGGAAAACTGAAATTGATGGAATACACACATTTTGCAGTTTTAACGTATAGAACAGGCATGCCCAACAGTTGATCACGGGGATGTCCCAGGTTGATCATGGTATGAAGTACACACACACAGCTCAACAATGGGGTAGATCATAGCCGGTTTTTTTATACTGTGAGTAGATCGCAGTCTCTTGGGAGTTGGACGTGCCTGATATAGAATAAGAGAACAAGAAGAACATATGTTTAGAGAAGACTGGAAAATGTTTACTGAATATATGTGTGAAAATTGTGTGCATTTAAAAACGCTGGTAGCATTAGGATAATTTCAAGTGTAAGTAAGTTTTGATGGATATAATAATAATAATAATAATAATAATAATAATAATAATAATATTTTTTTATTTATACCCCGCCCTCCCCAGCCAAGGCCGGGCTCAGAGCGGCTTACAAGCAATAATAAAAACAAGAAGAATGATTACAACTTAAAAACAAAAATAAAATGCAACATTAAAAAAGGAACATTAAAATATTAAAATGTAGCCTCATTGCAGGAGGAGAAGGAAAAGAAAAAAGAAAGAGAGGGAGGGAGGGAATCAAATTGGCTCCAAGCCAAAGGCCAGGCGGAACAACTCTGTCTTACAGGCCCTGCGGAAAGAAATCAGATCCTGCAGGGCCCTGGTCTCATGAGGCAGAGCGTTCCACCAGGCCGGAGCCAGAGTTGAAAAGGCCCTGGCTCTGGTTGAAGCCAATCTAACTTCCTTAGGGCCCGGGACCTCTAGGGTGTTGTTATTTATGGACCTTGAGGCTCTCCGTGGGGCATACTGGGAGAGGCGGTCCCGTAGGTACGAGGGTCCTAGGCGTCCTAGGGTCCTATAACAATAGATTACTGAACGGTTTTGTTCACTTAAAATATGCAGGGATGTATCACTAGTCTCTCACCTTGACCTACCTCTTAGGGTTATCGTGAGGATGAAAAATTGGGGGAGATGAGCTTGTACAACTCTTGTAGGTTACAGTAAAACAAACAAACAAACAAACAACAGAATGCAGACAGGAAAGCAACAAAGCAACCTGCATGCGTGCATTTGCTTTAAGGCTTATTTATTGCGCAGGAGGTCATGCAACAACTCCCCTTCTATAACTGCCTACAATTCCCAGCCTGCCCCGCGCTCCGACTCCATGTGCACGCTTAACCCTTTCGAATCCTGGGCGCCGTTGCTGCAGCGGTTGAGATTCGGAGCTCAGATGGGTGTCAAGAGAATCCAGGCACGTGAAACGGCAGCTGGCTTTTCTTCGTCTCGGAAAGGCGGTGCGTTTGCGTGTGTGCGTGTGTATGTGCATTGCAACCCCCGCTTTTTTCCCTCCTTTTTTCTTGCTGTAACTCCGTGATCCCCGGACCCGCATCGTGAGAACGCGTCTCGCCTTTCTGTGTAACCGATCAGCCAGCCTCCCAAAGAAAACAGCAAATAAAAAATGGTCGGGGACGAATTGCTGGGGGGCGAGGGGGGCACCTGGGCGCAGCACCCGGGACCCGGACGCTGGGACAGCGGCTTGCACATCCGCCATGGGGAAATCTAAAGGCCTCTCGGAAGCTGTGCGCCTCTGGACTGGCTGGTTTTTGGGTTCCCTCCCCCTGTTTTGGGAGGTGAATGGGGGGGATGGCGCGATCGGCGGAGAAACCTTCCCTTTCCAGGGGGAGGCGAGGCTGCTTGGATGAATATTCAGGCATGCATATTCTTCCCCAGAAGCCCACACCCTCTTTTTTTGCTAATCCCTTTGCAAGCTGGCTCTGCTCAGTTGGCTGCCGGCGGGGGAGAAGAGCGCAGGAATCTATTCTCTCCGACTCGAGGGACATATCCTGAAGCGCTGGATCGCGCGCAAAGCGCAGGGCGCCTTCTCCACGGGGGCAGGTAGACCGCGCGTCTTTACGCGCTGCTGTTAGGGACCCTGTTCCTGTGCAGACGTGCCGCGATGTCCCCGCTCCGCATCGGGATAGCGGCTGCGGTTTTCCCTGGCGGTAGGAAACATGCCATTGTCCCCGAGGCACGCCAGCTGTGCCACTGCGCGCTATTGTTTTTGTTCCGCGCAGGGAGGCATAGGGATTGCGCTTCCCTCTGTCAGTTGCAGGGTCGCCACTCTCTGCTTTTGTAGGGGGGACCCCGGGGTGGATGAGGGAGGGGGGAATAATCCTGTTGATTATGTTGCTTTGACTGTATACTTTATATTTGACTTTCTTCAGAAATGTTTGATTCTGGATTGTTTCATTGATATTTTAATAGGCTGTAAAGCGCTTTGAGATTTTTCTTTAAAATACAAAATGGTATAGAAATGAAATTAATACAGTGGTACCTCGGGTTCCATACGCTTCAGGTTCCATACGCTTCAGGTTATATTACCTCAGGTTAAGAACTTTGCTTCAGGATGAGAGCAGAAATTGTGCTCTGGCAGCAGCAGGAGGCCCCATTAGCTAAAGTGGTGCTTCAGGTTTTAAGAACAGTTTCAGGTTAAGTACGGACCTCCGGAACGAATTAAGTACTTAACCTGAGGTACCACTGTCATAATAATAAATAGGTCACCGGTGCTCCTCGAACCCTTTCCCCAGCTGTTTCTTAGAAACATTTCCTTCCCTATAACATCCTGATCTGATGAGTCACAGGGTGCCACCAACATCCATGGCAGGGTTTTTTTGCATAATTGTTAATGGAAGCAGTTCCCTGCCTTGAGGCGCTTACAGTTAAAGGGATTATACAGATGGGAGAGGCATGGGACGAGTATGAGGAAACTGGGCTACACCTTCTTAGACTTTGTAACCCATCAGGCCGGGCAGCTTATTGCAATCCTGGCACAATATCAACGGGCAGAAGTTTACCTCAGTTCCTAACCCGCCCTCTTCTTTTTCCGTGTTGCAGTTTTGATCTCTTGGTGAACTCGGCGCATGCGGCTTCTCCCAGGTGAGAGATGACCCGGGTGAATAGCAAAATGAAGCCCTCTGGCCTGCGAGGGGAAGTTGCCTGAGGAGAAAAGGGCCGATTGGGCCGGCTTTTGGCTGCGGTGCCGGCCGGCAACCCTTACCATGGCTCATTCCAGCATCTGGAACAGCCTCAAGTCTGTGCTGAGGAAGAACAATGACCCCTTGTTCCTGAACGACTGCAGTGCCTTTGACTTCTCCGACGAAGTTGGCGAGGAGGACTTCCCCAGGTTCAACAAGCTGCGGGTGGTGGTTTCGGAGGATGCGGCGGACGCTTCGGCCAACGGGGCCCACCTGGGCCCCCACTCCGACGACGAGTCCTTGCTGGACAGAGACATTGCCCTGCGGAACGCGCAGACCGGACCCGGCACAGAACCTTGTAACAATTGCAACAAGCAAAGGGAACTCTCAAAGCAGAAGGAAGGTGAAGAGGCGGCTGGTTCTAGCAGCCGTCCTCTATCTCCTCTTTATGACAGGGGAGCTGATAGGTAAGAATGCCTTGATCTCTCCTGAGAAGGAGATCTTTCAATTGCTTCGCTGTGCCTTCGGGGACAGTCTTTTAATTATTTACTTGGTGGGACCGTCGGGTGACATATCTCATTATGAAGAGACGGCAAGCTCAGAGGGCATCTTGAGTAAGTCAAAGCAATGTGAGGGTGGAAAAGGGCATTGCCACCTTTGCAAATTACTGCTACATTCATCGATTCTCCTGAATAGTACGTCTCCATTTGCAAAGTGGAGATTTCGTGTTCCTGTTGGTGATGCTTTTCTGAAAGGGATAAAGGAAGTTTAGTAGTACAGTGGCACCTCGGGTTACAGACGCTTCAGGTTACAGACTCCGCTAACCCAGAAATAGTGCCTCGGGTTAAGAACTTTGCTTCAGGATGAGAACAGAAATCGCGCGGCGGCAGCAGCGGGAGGCCCCATTAGCTAAAGTGGTACCTCAGGTTAAGAACAGTTTCAAGTTAAGAACGGACCTCCAGAACGAATTAAGTTCTTAACCCAAGGTACCACTGTAGTCGTAATTATAATAAAACTCCCTTTCTCTCTCTTTTTAACCTCCTCGAGAGCTTCAGAGGGTGGCAACATGAGAACAGGGCCTTCTCTGCAGTGGCTCCCCATCTGTGGAATGCTCTCCCCAGGGAAGTTCGCCTGGCGCCTTCATTATACACCTTTAGGTGCCAGGCAAAAACGTTCCTCTTTAACCAGGCCTTGGTTACATCCGATTTACATCCTATGCCCTTTTAAAATGTGGGGTTTGGGGGCAGGGGTCATTAGGTGCTGTTTTTATTTTTATTAGGTATTTTGTGGTTTTATATCTTGATTTTATTCTGTGAACTGCTCCTGGGGACCCTCGGAGGTAAGGGCGTATATAACAGTGGTACCTCGGTTACATTACGCTTCAGGTTACAGACTCCGCTAACCAGGAAATTAGTACCTGGGGTTTAAGAAACTTTGCTTCAGGTATGGAGAGCCAGAAATTGTGCTCTGGCGGCACGCCGGCCAGCGGGAGCCCCATTAGCTAAAGTGGTGCTTCAGGTTAAGAACAGTTTTCAGGGTAAGAACGACCTTTGGAACCAAATTAAGTACTTAACCCGATGTACCACTGTAAATTCAATAAACAACAACAATAATGGGGGACTACGTAGCTCGGTCGGTAGTGCGTGAGACTCCGAATCCCAGGGTCATGAAAGCTTCCTGCATTTCAGGGGTTAGACTAGATGATTCTTGTGGTACCTTCCAATTGTACACTTCTATGATTCTGTGATCTGTTAGCTGTATGTCACGTGCCCAGAAGTAACAGCCTTGAGGCTTTCTCTTGAACTGTGTAGAATTTACACGGAAACTATCCCTCTGATGGTGACACTTCCGAAAAAGTTAGTTGCAGCTAAATTCTGTGAAAATCAATGGGCCTCAGCTTAGTCCCATTCCATTGTTTTAACTGGGATGATCATAATGGATTGTGACCGTTGTATTTGTTACATGCATAGTTCAAGCTCTTTATCTGACATTCATCCTGTCTAAAATCGTGCGGTTATTCTGGACCATGTGCTTTTGTTTTTGTTTCAAAACCACGATGTTTCCCCCACTAGCTACTTCTTATGTTGAATGTTCAACCCACCACAGTTGGATTTATGCCAACTGTGAACATTATGTATGTTTGTTTGTGTAATGCTTGCATAAATACATGTCAAGATTTAAAGCCCAGAATAAAATCACATGGTTAGGTTTTTTCATTTTGAAAAAACAAATCCGTCAAATCATCAAATTACCGGCCATAATCTAGCATACATAGGCATTCCTAAACCCCATTCATATCGACAGCATTCAAAGTATGCACAACCATGAACTTTCGCAGGTACAGATATTACAAAAGCCTTAAAGGTAAAGGGACCCCTGACCATTAGGTCCAGTCATGGCCGACTCTGGGGTTGCGGCGCTCATCTTGCTTTACTGGCCGAGGGAGCCGGTGTACAGCTGGTCATGTGACCAGAATGACTAAGCCGCTTCTGGCGAACCAGAGCAGCGCACGGAAACGCCGTTTACCTTCCCGCCGGAGCGGTACCTATTTATCTACTTGCACTTTGTGCTTTCGAACTGCTAGGTTGGCAGGAGCAGGGACCGAGCAACAGGAGCTCACCCCGTCGCAGGGATTCGAACCGCCGACTTTCTGATCAGCAAGTCCTAGGCTCTGTGGTTTAACCCACAGGGCCACCCGCACCCCACAAAAGCCTTAAGTAGCTGCAAATTAGAATTTGTTCATAGAATTGTAGAGTTGGAAGGGACCGCAAGAGTCATCTAGTCCAACCCCTTGCAATGCAGGAATCTTTTTGCCCAACGTGGGACTCGAACCCATGACCCGTGAGATTAAGAGTCGTATACTGTACCAACTGAGCAATCCCTTTAGTTGGTGTGATTACTTGGATGTATTCTTCCTGCTATAATTTGTATTCCTGGACTTTCTGTTCAGATTAATATCTCTTGGGTTAATTATTCTGACATTCTGAGTTCTCGCAGCTAGCAGCACCCTTGTTAGATATCGGTAACTAAGCAATGAAACTTTTCAGATAAATTACCAAAAAACAAGAGGATTTATTTAAGCAGTGTTTGGATTTTTTTAAAAAAACCCTTTGCCCTGAAGTCCAGCAACTGGATCTACTCTACTTTTCTCCGCATGTTTCTAAAAGTCATGTGAAAAGTTTTGTTGCATAAAGTTCCCCGTATAAACTTGCCATTTGGTCAATGGCGGCAAATGAGGGTTGTTTCCTGTCAACTCAAACTTCGTTGATGTGGTTTTGAATGTGGTTTCAAAGGCCTGTGTTGTGCTTTCAGCATGGGAAGTGTCTCCCGTTTAGATGTTCAGTGTCATAAATAACTTGGCATATACTTGGTGTAGGCAAATATGGTTAATAAAACTCTTGGGCTGGACGCTTGCAGCTTCCTTGGACTTAATGGAAATGCAGTTTTCCTGAGACGTAGCTCTTGCGGCACTTGAGGAGTCTTTGCACCGTGGCAGAAATTAAGAGAGACTGCAGTTTGGAAACCCTCAGAGAGTCAAGTTAACCAAAGCAAATGCAGTAGTGTGGTTTTTTAATAGTTTTTATTAAATTTTTCTAATTTACATTTCAAGATATTCCTTTAGACAACCTTAAATCAATGACTCTCCTTCTCTTTCCATGGTTCATTTTGCATACAATACATCCCTGCATATTTTAGATGAACTAAACCATTCAGTAATCCATTGTTAGTAAAGGTAAAGGGAACCCTGACCATTAGGTCCAGTTGCGGACGACTCTGGGGTTGCAGCGCTCGTCTCGCTTTACTGGCCGAGGGAGCCGGCATACAGCTTCCGGATCATGTGGCCGGCACGACTAAGCTGCTTCTGACGAACCAGAGCAGCGCACGGAAACGCCGTTTACCTTCCCGCTGGAGCGGTACCTATTTATCTACTTGCGCTGGCGTGCTTTCGAACTGCTAGGTTGGCAGGAGCAGGGACCGTGCAACGGGAGCTCACCCCGTCGCAGGGATTCGAACCGCCGACCTTCTGATCGGCAAGCCCAAGAGGCTCTGTGGTTTAACTTGTTTACACTGCTGAATTTATCTTAATGCTACCAGTGTTTTTAAATGAACACAATTTTCACCCAAATAATCAGTAAACATATATTCTTCTTGTTCTCTTATTCTGTATGTTAAATCTGCAAGCTGTGCATATTCCACCAGTTTAAGTTGCCCTTCTTCTTTGGTTGGGACCTCACTCATTTTCCATTTTTGGGTTAGCAAAACACGGGCCGCAGTAGTAGCATACATAAATAATATTTTTGGATACCTGGGTGCAGTGGCTGACTTCTCAGTCTCCACAGGAAAAAATGCCACCTGGCCTATTATTCCCCCCCACGCCGCACCAGTTTTCAGCTCTGAACCTCCTAAGCTGCTTGCACAAAGATTTGTGATCAGCCAGCCATGAGATGGGCCTTTGTCCTTCATGGCTCATTGAAGGCGGCAATGAGACAGACATTATTGACCGGGATGTTACCATGTCCTTTTTGAAATCTCTTCTACAGAGGAGGAAATAAGGAGACTTCTTTTTTCTTACTCGCCTATGGTGATCGGGTTGCTGCGGACACACCTCACCCTGCCGCTTCCATCGGCAGAGAAGTGCCTCTGCCGTTGGCACTGATTTTGGGCAACATCGTGCTCATTGGGGGCAAGATCGCACCCAAAATTGGCGCGATGGCGACGGGGTGCACAGTGGTGGCAAAGCGGGCAGCGGCAGGAGCAGGGAGGTAGTGGTGGCAGCAGTGGCAGGGTGGAGAGGCGCTTCCCGGTGGAGGAAGGGAGGACAGGAAGAATAGTTTGTCAGCCAAGTGCTTATTTAAAAGTAAAGGTAAAGGGACCCCTGACTGTTAGGTCCAGTCACGGATGATTCTGGGGTTGCGGCATTCATCTCACTTTTTTGGCTGAGGAAGCCGGCATACAGCTTCCAGGTCATGTGGCCAGTATGACTAAGCCGCTTCTGACGAACCAGAATAGCGCACGGAAACACCGTTTACCTTCCCACCGGAGCGGTACCTATTTATCTACTTGCACTTTGACGTGCTTTCGAACTGCTAGGTTGGTAGGAGCAGGGACCGAACAACGGGAGCTCACCCTGTCGCGGGGATTCGAACCGTCGACCTTCTGATTGGCAAGTCCTAGGCTCTGTGGTTTAACCCACAGCGCCACCTGCATCCCAAGTACTTATTTAGAGCAGGGCTAAAGACCTAGAGGAGGAGGAGGAACTTTATTTTAGGATCTGTACCTCATTTTCATGGTACTATGCATGCCCACACTCTTCCTCCACGCCCAGGTTCCGCCATCTAATCACAGGAGCAGGAGAGGCACATTAATCCCACACAATAGATTGGTACATGTGATTATTGTTGCTCCTGGAAAAAAGCCATGGAAAAGGTTTGTCTGTTTTTCAGTGTAGTTCCAAGGCTACAATGGTTGCATCCCACCACTGCAAATAGTGCTTCTTTTTTTGAAATAGTTTTTATTTGTTTTTAGAAGTATAACATCATAACAATACATCCACACACATCCGCATTTACATATTCCTCCGAATCTCTGGACTTCCCACCTCCCCTTCATGGGTCCTTCTTATTAAACCTTTTCTACTGCATCTTTTCCAATAATCTGAGTTTTATATAACTCCATAGTACTTGCTACATTACAAGTGTTGCTGCAATCCTGCTAATGTTTTCACCTGCTTACAGTGGTCTCCAAAATAAATTATGAATTTCCCCCATTCTTTGTTAAAAGTTCTGGTCTTCTTGGTTCCTGAGCTTTCCGGTCAACTTTGCCATTTTGGCATATTCCAATCGGGGCAGAGCAAGGTGGTGGTGGTGGTGGTAGGACAGACGCCCTGGGTGTCATCACCAAGGGGGGTGACATTCGGTGCGCTGCCTGCCCGCGACTCCTGCCTACCCTGAGCTGTGGGGGGAAGGGGGGTAGTTTTGCTGCCTAATACAATGGAACTTTGGTTTTCGAATGTACAGTGGTGCCTCGCAAGACGAAATTAATTCGTTCCGCAAGTTTTGTCGTCTTGCGATTTTTCCGTCTTGCGAAGCACGGTTTCCCATAGGAATGCATTGAAAATCAATTAATGCGTTCCTATGGAAACCGACTTCAGACCAGGTCCGGGGACAGTCTGTCCCCCGACCACTTCTGAAGGCTGGGGGGGGGGACCAAGGGCTTTTCTTCCCACCCCCAGCATTTTAAAAAACCCCGGGACAGCGGGGGACTTCTCCGCTGTCCGGGGCGATCTTAAAATGCTGGCGGGCGGGAGCGAAGCCTCCGCTGCCGCCCGCCAGCATTTTAAAAAGCCCTGGGACAGCGGGGCACTTCTCCGCTGTCCTGGGCGATCTTAAAATGCTGGCGGGCGGGAGCGAAGCCTCCGCTGCCGCCCGCCAGCATTTTAAAAAGCCCTGGGACAGCGGGGCACTTCTCCGCTGTCCTGGGCGATCTTAAAATGCTGGCGGGCGGGAGCGAAGCCTCCGCTGCCGCCCGCCAGCATTTTAAAAAGCCCCGGGACAGCGGGGGACTTCTCCGCTGTCCGGGGCGATCTTAAAATGCTGGCGGGCGGGAGCGAAGCCTCCGCTGCCGCCCGCCAGCATTTTAAAAAGCCCCGGGACAGCGGGGGACTTCTCCGCTGTCCGGGGCGATCTTAAAATGCTGGCGGGCGGGAGCGAAGCCTCCGCTGCCGCCCGCCAGCATTTTAAAAAGCCCCGGGACAGCGGGGGACTTCTCCGCTGTCCGGGGCGATCTTAAAATGCTGGCGGGCGGCAGCGGAGGCTCCGCTGTCGCCCGCCAGCATTTTAAAAAGCCCCGGGACAGCGGGGGACTTCTCCGCTGTCCCGGGGCGATTTAAAAGCCCCCGGGAAGGCAGGCAGGGGGGACAAAGACTTTCGCCCCCCGCCGGCCTTCAGAAGAGGTCCAGGACCTCTTCTGAAGGCGGGCGGGGGCGAAAGTCTATGCTCCCCCCCGCATGCCTTCAAAAGCCCTCCGGGACAGCGGAGAAAGGCGCTGCGTTTCTCTGCTCTCCCGGGAAGGCAGGCAGGGGGGAGCAAAGACTTTCGCCCCCCGCCGGCCTTTAGAAGAGGTCCTGGACCTCTTCTGAAGGCCGGCGGGGGGCGAAAGTCTTTGCTCCCCCCCCCGCCTGCCTTCAAAAGCCGTCTGGGATAGCGGAGAAACGAAGGCTGGCGGCGGGAGGAGGTCTCTCCGCCCGCCGCCAGCCTTTGGAGGAGGTCCGAGGACAGTGGGGAAGACGCGTTGCGCTTCCCCGCTGTCCCAGAGATTTCCCTATGGGCTTTCGTGTTGCGAAGGAAGCCCATAGGGAAATTCGTTTTGCAAAGCGCCTCCAAAACGGAAAACCCTTTCGTCTTGCGGGTTTTCCGTCTTGCGAGGCGTTCGTCTTGCGGGGCACCACTGTAATCCATTCCGGAAGACCGTTCGATTTTTGAAAACCAAGGATCAATGGGCGGTTGGCAAAATCCATTGCAAAATGGAAGCCGTTCGATTTCCGAAAACGCAAGCAATTACTTCCGGGTTTTCAGTGTTCGGGTTCCAAATTGTTTGGCTTCTGAGATGCTTGAAAACAGAGGTTCCACTCTATCAACGTGTATGTGCTTGTTGCTACAGGTCCTTTAAAGTTTAAAACACACCCTAGCATATTTACACCAGGGCTATAAACCATGTTTCATATACAGTGGTACCTCAGGTTAAGTACTTAATTTGTTCCGGAGGTCCGTTCTTAACCAGAAACTGTTCTTAACCTGAAGCACCACTTTAGCTAATGGGGTCTCCCGCTGCTGCCGCGCCACCGGAGCACGATTTCTGTTCTCATCCTGAAGCAAAGTGCCGAACCTGAAGCACTATTTCTGGGTTAGCGGAGTCTGTAACCTGAAGCGTATGTAACCTGAAGCGTATGTAACCCGAGGTACCACTGTATGTGCATCGTACGAGATGTTTTTTTCTGCTAAGGGCTTCATATGCTGTCATGGCCTGGAATTATTACGACCCCGGCACAGCTGCATTTATTCATTTGTTGATATACATTTTAAATTGTAACGTGTGGATATGGCAAATGATGTGCTTGCGTGTGATTGGCGGCTGCTCCCTTTTGAGGGTACACTTGGTTTTACTTCTTTCTAGCACAGACCTCTCAGTATTATAGACCTAACATACACTTTCCTTTTAAATGTGCATGTCAAGGTGGATACGTTGCCAACAGCCTAGCAATCATGACGGATGCGCTTCATATGTTAACTGACCTCAGTGGCATTATTTTGACCCTGCTTGCTTTGTGGCTATCTGCAAAATCACCGACCAAAAAATTCACCTTCGGATTTCACCGCTTAGGTACGTAATCTATTTTTTAAAAAATTATTGTTGTCATTCGAATAGAGCTGTGTGTACTAATATATGTAAGAGCTGTATCCCTAAACTGTGCGAGCTCATCAGGGGCTAATAGCCTTTGAGAGCTACAGTTAAACCTTGGTTCCCGAATGGCTTAGTTGCCAAAGAAATCGGCTCCCGAATGCCAGAAAACCGGAAGTAAGTGTTCCCGTTTGCGAACATTTTTTTGGAAGCTGAATGTCCAATGCAGCTTCCGTAGGTGTGCAGGAAGCTCCTGCAGCCAATCGGAAGCCGTGCCTTTGTTTTGGAACGGTTTTGGGAGTCAAATGGACTCCTGGAACAGATTAAGTTTGAGAACCAAGGTACCACTGTATTTTTAAAAGTTGATTTATGAACTTAAAGTAGGCGGTATGGGTGGGGGGGAGGAATAGTAAAGCCCACTTTTACCTGTTCCTTTATGCAGGAGACACTTTTGGGTCTTCATGCATTCCACCCTTCTTCTTTTTGCTTTCCTGTATATGTTCTAAACATATTGGGTGTTCGTCTAGAAATGTTATTTGCATCAGGACTCTGACAGGCTTATTGTAGTGTGAGGTTCCATAGGCAGAAGCTCCCATGTGCACAAAAAAGAGGGCAAGGTCAAGGCCTGTAGCTCAGTGGTTAGAGAATCTGTTTTGCATGCAGAAGGTCCCAGGTTCAGTCCTCAGCATCTCAAGGTAGGGGACGCGGGTAGCGCTATAGTTTAAACAACTGAGCCTCTTTGGGCTTGCCGATCAGAAAGTCAGCGGTTCGAATCCCCGCAACGGAGTGAGCGCCCGTTGCTCTGTCCCAGCTCCTGCCAACCTAGCAGTTCAAAAGCACGCCAGTGCAAGTAGATAAATAGGTACCACTGTGGCAGGAAGGTAAATGGCTCTTCCATGCATTCTGGTTTCCATCACGGTGTCCCGTTGCGCCAGAAGCGGTTTAGTCCTGCTGTCCACAAGACCCGGAAAGCTGTCTGTGGACAAACGCTGAATCCCTCGGCCTGAAAGCGAGATGAGCGCCACAACCTCATAGTCTCCTTTGAGTGGACTCAGCCGTCTAGGGGTCCTTTACTTTTTACCTTTTTTACTAGGTAGGGCTGGGAGAGAACCCTGTCTGATATCCTGGAAAGCTGTTGCCAGTCAGTGTTGAAAATTCTGCGCTCAGTCGATGAAGGGTCTGACTGATGTGGTTTAGGGCAGCTTCCCATGTTCTGAAGATATAAGGCAGCAATCCCACACTCGCTTCCCTGTGAGTAAGCACAGGCCTAAGGCATACCTTCTAAGACAGTTGCTGTGCTGCAGTGGTTAGAGCAGGGCTGGGGAACCTGTGGTCCATCAGCTGTTACTAAAGTCCCATCCTCCTAGACCTTCGGCCATGCTGACTCCCACATCATCTGGAGGGCTACAGGTTTTCCCCATTGTCAGGCCAGAGTGTCAGTCTTAGAACTGGATCATATCCCCACACAGCCATCAAGCCCACTGGGTGATCTTGGGTCAGTCTCACACATCTCCTCCTTCTCCCCGCCCCCATATATATAATATTTTATTAGTTTTTTTAACATATCATTTTCAACAGTAATTAAACATACAGTGGTACCTCAGGTTACATACACTTCAGGTTACATACGCTTCAGGTTACAGACTCCGCTAACCCAGAAATAGTACCTCAGGTTAAGAACTTTGCTTCCGGATGAGAAGAGATATCGTGCTACAGTGGCGCAGCAGCGGCAGGAGGCCCTATTAGCTAAAGTGGTGCTTCGGGTTAAGAACAGTTTCAGGTTAAGTACGGACCTCCGGAACGAATTAAGTACTTAACCTGAGGTACCACTGTACTTTTACATCTTATTCAAATTTTTTACTTCCATCAATCCTGTCTGAAAATTTTCCAATCTAATCTCTCAGTATGCATTTCTTATCCTCCCTATTACATTTCAAACTCATAACCAATATCTCTATCTTTTTCTACTTTGTAACACTTCGTATATTTCTCCTTGCAAAACTTCTTGCGTAATTTGTTGATTACAGTTGCTCTTCAAATAATTCATATACTTCTTCCAATCTTCTGTAAATGTCTGGTCCCACAGGTTTCGAATCCTTCCTGTCATTTTGTCCAATTCTGCATAGTCCATTGATTTCGTCTGCCATTCTTCTCTCGTCGGAATTTCTTCTTGTTTCCATTTCTGGGCTAACAATACTCTTGCAGCACACAGCTCCTCCTTCTGACTTGCAACCTAAGAACATAACAGCCCCGCCGTCAGAGACCAAAGGTCTGCCCAGTTTAGCATTCTGTTCCAGTGGCGTAGCGTGGGTTGCCAGAACCCGGGGCCGTATGGAGGGTGGTGGGAGGGAAATGAACAGAGTATGCATGTGTGATCAATTGCCTAATGGCGTCTGCGTCACCCAGCAGATCACAGCCACAGAGAAAAGCAAAGAAGAGCTGTTCTGTTGTATGGAGAGGTCACTTCCTGGTTTGCATGGAGAAGCCATTTTCAGATTTCCACCCGCTAACAAATCTGCGCATGGGGCCTCCTCATGCTACAACACTGTTCTGTTCGCACAGCGACCAACCAAATAGCTGTGGGAAGCCCATAATCATGTGTAGCTTTGTGCTTCTTGGTTAGAATGTCAGATTAGGACTTGAGAGACCAAGCTTAAAATCCCTGCTTGGCCATGTAGCTCATCTTGGGCCAGTCACTGCCTCTTAGCCTAGCCTACTTCACAGGGTTATTGTTGAGATTAGATGAGGAGGGGGAGAATCGTGTCTGCCACCGCTTGGAAGAAAAAAAGTGGGATATAAATGTAATAAATGAACAAGCAAACAATGTAACGTTCTTAATAATAAATGCTGAATTAGGCCCATTGATTTCAGAGGAGCTGTGTATTGGATTGTGGTTAAATTGAAAATAAAAATAAAAATAAATAATAATAATTTATTATTTATACCCTGCCTATCTGGCTGGGTTTCCCCAGCCACTCTGGGCGGCTCCAAGCAGAATATTAAAAACACGATAAAACATCAAACTTCCAAAACTTCCCTAAACAGGGTTGCCTTCAGTTGTATTCTACAAGTCAGATAGTTGTTTATTTCCTTGACATCCAATGGGAGGGCATTTCACAGGGCAGGCGCCATTACCGAGAAGGCCTGGTTCCCTGTAACATCTAACACTAAAATACAATAACCTATTAAACATTAAAAGCTTCCCTAAACAGGGCTGCCTTTAGATGTCTTCTAAAAGTTTGGTAGTTATTTTTCTCTTTGACATCTGGTGGGAGGGTGTTCCACAGGGCGGGTGCCACTACCGAGAAGGCCCTCTGCCTGGTTCCCTGTAACTTGGCTTCTCGCAGCGAGGGAACCGCCAGAAGGCCCTCGGAGCTGGACCTCAGTGTCTTTAGAAACTATTCCAGTTTATCTCCTAAAGCCAGGGCAGCACCCATCAAAAGTTTCCAAGAACATTTATCAACTCTTAGAAAGCAAAGTTGCGAAACAAAAAAGTGTGTTGCAGTTAAAAAATGCACTGACTCAGCTCTGCTTCAAGCCTGTGTTAGGTTAGTCTCTGATCAGATTATTGAATTCACTGTTCACATGACAACTACTTCTTCTTTAAAGCTATAATTAGATTTTTTCCCAGTCGTGCTTTTTGTTTTTAGTTCCAAATTGTAATGGGGCCCCATGGGAGATGCACATAATAACCCTGAGCAATGGGGTGTATTTAAATGCCTTTGAAAACGACTCCTGGCCCCGGTGGGTTATATTTCAGTCATAAGGATACTCATGCCACAAAATTAAAAACTCTTGAAAGAAAAGGTTCGTTGCTGCCAAACTCCTTATCGCTTGAGACGGAGGAAGACTTGCTACCGTACAGTATAGTACAGTATGGCTTTATAATGAACTGATGGGCTGATACTGTAAGCCCAGTGTGCAGGGAAATGTCTCTATCTAGGAATAAAAACTTGGCAGGCTCAGTTATGAAATTTAACCCTCCTCCTAGATGGAGTAAAAGGAGACTTTGGAAATATTTTTTTCCCTCACAGGGCCCGTTAATAGTTTCACTCTTCAATTTTTATGCTGCTTTTATGTTCTGTTTGCATGTATTACATGGTTTTCTTTCTTTCTTTTTTCCATTTTTTTTTTGTTTAGGCAAAGCAACTTTAGAAAAATAATTATAACCAAACTGAAGACAAATTGCTTTGAGAACACTCAGGCATTATTATATGACAGAATCAGTTACTTTTATCCTAATAAATGTTTCTTTTCTTTTGTATTACATGGTTTTACCACACTGTCCTATGTATGATTACTCGGAAGTAACTCCCAGGTATTAAATAGGGATTTTTCCTGGAACAGCTACTTGGATTACTCCCTTAATATTTGTTCATTTTTATTTCTAAATTTCTAAACCACTCAGTATTGAAAATGTATTTAAGTGGTGTACAGAAATACAAACAGCAAAACAGTATAACAAAATCAGAAATTAAAAAAATACAGTATTGTTGTATTTTTGATGTATGCATCTCCTCAAAGTCACCCTGGTTGTTGTTGTTGTTGTTGTTGTGTGTGTGTGTTTTTTTAAGATAGTAGGGAAAATAGCTTATATTGGGCTCATAAGACTGGGAAGCAGCTGAAGGATTTTGAGTTCAGTTTCTCCTAATAAGATAGCCTATTACTGTTGTGTGGGTTTTTTTTAAGAACCTGTGACAGCTTTGTAGAGTAGCTGTCTTGCAGCCAGCTAATCTGTGGTGCAGTTTTTGCTAATTAAAGGAGCTTGTGATGTTGTACGGCATGGACTTTCCAAACTGAGGGTTCCAGGGAAACTTTAGATTCCTCAAAAGCTTAAATGGGATTTCTCCATAGCTTATCTGTTGGTTTCTCCCAGGCATATGGTCACAGCCATTGTGAGAAGAAGATGCTGGAATAGTTGGGGTATCGGCCTGATCCAGGAACCTCTTCTCACATTATTATTTCCTTTTTTTGGGAAATAATTTTTATCTGATTTTACAAGTATAAAATTATAACAATACAACCATACACATCCATATTTAAAGAATCCTCTGAATCTCTGGACTTCCCACCTTCCCCTCAATGGATCCTCTTGTCAGACTTTTCAGCTGCATATTATTCAGTAGCCCATATTTTATGTCACTCCATTATCTCCATAGTACAGTTGTACCTTGGTTGTCAAACACCTTGGTACTCATACGTTTTGGCTCCTGAACGATCGAAACCCAGAAGTGAATGTCCCGGTTTTCGAACTTTTTTAGAAGCCAAACGTCCAACGTGGCTTCCGATTGGCTGCAGGAGTTTCCTGCAGCCAATCAGAAGCTGTGCTTTGGTTTCTGAACGTTTTGGAAGTTGAACGGACTTCCGGAACGGATTCCATTTGACTTCCAAGGTACGACTGTATACACTACATTACAAGTGTTTTTGCAATCCTTCTAATGTTTTCATCTGCTTACATGATCTCCAAGATAAATCATTAATTTTTCCCATTCTTTGTGAAAGTTTTGGTCTTCTTGGTCTCTGAGCTTTCCAGTCAATTTTGTCAACAGATTAATTTGCCATTCTTCTCTGGTAGGGTCTTCTTTCCATCTCTGGGCTAGTAATATCCGTGCGGCTGTCGTCACGTACATAAAAAGTCTTTTCTGTTCCTTTGGAATAAAAGGTAAAGGGACCCCTGACCATTACCGGTAGGTCCAGTCGCGGACGACTCTGGGGTTGCGGCGCTCATCTTGCTTTATTGGCCGAGGGAGCCGGCATACAGCTTCCGGGTCATGTGGCCAGCATGACTATGCCGCTTCTGGCGAACCAGAGCAGCGCACGGAAACGCCATTTACCTTCCCGCTAGAGTGGTACCTATTTATCTACTGGTACTGCATGCTTTCGAGCTGCTAGGTTGGCAGGAGTCCTTTGGAATATCAGCCCCTAAAATTCCTAATAGAACAGCCTTTGTTAAAAAAACATTAGAAATGTTTAAACTTACATTATTAGCATTTACTTAACCCAGCCTGGATTCAGTGTAATTAAAAGTACCATGGAAATGCTAAACGCTGCATGATGTTTGTGCGCAGATGCTCTTGTAACAGTGCTGCTGTTTTTCTTTCTCTTTCCCAGAGGTGTTGTCTGCCATGTTCAGCGTCTTGCTGATTTATATCCTCATGGTTTTCCTCTTGTACGAAGCTGTTCAAAGGACCATCCACATGGACTACGAAATCAATGGGGATATTATGCTGATTACAGCAGCCATTGGGGTAGCGGTCAACCTTATGTAAGTGTTCCTTTTCCTTCTGTTGAAAGTTCGCCGCCTTCTTAGCAAGGGACTCCTGTGAAGAAAGTCCCAGAACCGCCCCACCGTTTCTCTTTTTCTATTATTTAAATTTTTATTTATACTTTTCAAGTTTAAACATTAGTTTTACAATCACTTTATCGTTTCAAAATTTGACTTCCTTCCCCCTCTTTCTGCAGCTCCTTAATTTTTTTCCTTTTTTAAATATCTTCTGCATATCCAAATTCATTTAATTTGCTCCTTTGCCCCACCGTTTCTTTATGGCGGTCTGTCACGTTTCTCCTGTCAATCCTCTTCAATTGCCAAAAAGGGTACCAACTGGACCTCATTTGTCAGAAAGAGACAGAAGTAAGGTTACCAGATTTTTTTTCAGTGAATCCGGGGGCACTTTTCAACTTCAGTAGGAATGATAGGATTTTGTATGGGGACTGATTTGTAAATCTGGGGACTGTCCCCGGGAAACGGGGATGTCTGGTAACCTTAGCCAGAAGTCACATCTTTCAGAAGAGAGGTTCAAAAAACCTCATCTGCCCTCAATGTTCCGCTGCCACCATCAGGGTTTCAGAATGGACTTTCTATGAAGCTGACTAGCCTCACGACTATGGTGTAGTCCAGTGTTTCCCAACCTTGGGCCTCCAGCTGTTTTTGGACTACAACTCCCATCATCCCTAGCTAGCAAGACCAGTGGTCAGGGATGATGGGAATTGTAGTTCAAAAACAGCTGGAGGCCCAAGGTTGGTCAATAGGCTAGAATTAGTCCAGTTTGTGAATTTTAGGTGCCGAAATCCCAAGGGAGCAGAAAGGTTTATCTATGTACTCAACTACGGCTATGCGATTGCTGTTAGCCCAGAGATGGAAAGAATAAAAAGTCCCTACCAGAGAAGAATGGCAGATCAAGTTGATGGACTATGCCAAAATGGCAAAAATGACCGGAAGAATCAGAAATCAGGAAGACCAAAATTTTAATAAGGAATGGGGAAAATGTATAATCTGTCTTAAAAACCATTGTAAACAGTTAAAATCGTCAGTGGGATTGGAATAACATGGTGAACTTTGGACATGAGATGTAAAAGGGCAGGAGGGAAGTCTAGGACAGTGTTTCCCAACCGGCGTTCCGCGGCACACAACTGTGCCGCGAGACGTTGTCTGGTGTGCCGTGGGAGGAAGGCGGGCGAGTCGCACGGTGCCTCGGCGTCGGGCGGCAGCGAGCCCAGGAAGCGGCCCAGCCGGCCGGGGTCGCCCGCCTGCAGCAGCGCCTCGCACCCGCACGAGACCTGCTCCGCCGAGAAGCGGGCGAGCGCGGAGGATCGGGCGCGGCGGAGGCCAGCCCCGCGCTTGGAGAGGACGCAGCAGCCGTCGCCAAACCCGATCCTCCTCCTCCTGCTCCGCCGCCGTCCTCTGGCTCTCGGCCGGGAGGAGCCTGCGGCGACGGGGCGGGCGCCGAAGTTGGCAGAAGTTGGCGCGCCTCCTCGGCAGCGCCTTCGTCCTCCTCCTCCTGCCTCTGCTCTCCTCCGGCGGCGGGGGCGCGCCGCCCTCCCCGGCCGGGGGGCTCGGCGGGGCCCGCGGGGAAGGAGGCCATGTTCGCGGCGCGCGGGATCGCGGCCCCCCTCGCCCGCCTCCGGCCCGCTCCCCTCCCCCTGCGCGCTGCCCTAGCCGTGCGGGTCTCCTCCCGCTGCGCCGCCGTCCCCTTTCCACATCCTAGGAGCCGCGGTCCGCCTACCGCCCCCGGGCCGCGGCGCGGCTCCCAGCCCGGGCTGGCCTCCGCCTCCTGGGACGCGCGCCCACCCCCGCGGCCCCCCAAACTTCGGAGCAACTCTCCAGACGCTTCTCCCCCGCCTCGGTCTCCCTCCTTTCCACTTCTCTTCCCCCCTTCCCTCTTTCTTTCTCTTTCTCTCCCACCCGCCTTTCCTTCTATTAACTTTCCTTTCCCCTCCCTTCGTCCTTCCTACTTTTACTCCTGGGCTCCTCCCCCCTTTGCGCAGCCACAAATCAATCTCTCTCTCTTTTTTCCCCTCTCTCTCTTCTTTGCTCAGACGCAAAAAAGCGCCGCTTTTTGGAAATCTGGACTGCTGTCCCCGCTGAAACGATACTTTAAAAAAGGAAGAACCCACTGGCTCTTATTTCTGTTTAAAGCAGTAGATCCCGAACTCTTTTGGCCCACTGCCCCCTTGGTTCCACATCCCCCAGTGTCCCCTATGCTTACTCTATAGAAAGCATTACAGGGGTTAACGCGGCTCGCTAAGGAAGATATTAATAGAATTCTGCATTTGGGGGGAGACCCTAACAGTCATCTACCATTACCTTCTATGCTGTTACTATTTTTTTATTTTTTTTTACATAAGTAAAAAGTGACCTTTCCCCATCTGGCATGGTGGTGTGCCTCGAGATTTTTTTCATGAAACAAGTGTGCCTTTGCCCAAAAAAGGTTGGGAAACACTGGTCTAGGAGATTCTGTGGAATCTTCTTAGTCCTGTTTGGGAGCCGCGGTGCTCTGGTTTATTTTGTATTCTGGCTCTTGCCTGGTTTCCCTCTACCTTTCGTTTTTAGCGAAGTCTCCTAATTTCACCACTGCGGTGGATGCGATTGCCAGCTTCGAGGTTCTATCATCCCCATGTGCCTGGACACTTAGAATTCCTGGTACTGGAAGTTTAGGATCGGTGCAAAAGCAGGAAGAGGACGAGCCTTTCTCTTGGTGGGATGATTTGCCGGCCAATGGGGCAGCGCGAGTGCGACCACCGTTGCTCTCCTGGCTTCACAATCCGGTCACTTGTTGGCTTTTATCAAGAGGCAAGTGTGTCACACCTCTCCCTCCTTACTGACCACTCGCAACCAGCTTTGTTGGTAAGCCAGGAGAACAACGGTTCCCTTTCTGTGCTACCTTACTGACTGCGGGTGGCGCTGTGGTCTAAACCACTGAGCCTCTTGGGCTTGCCAATCGGAAGGCCGACGGTTCGAATCCCCGTGATGGGGTGCCTATGAATGCTTCCGTTTTCAAACACGCCTTGGAAGTCGATTGACTTCTGAGGTTCGTTTCTCCATTTTTTCAATGGATTTTGCCGACCAGCAATTGCGCCTCAGTTGTCAAACGTTTCAGAAGTCAAACCGTCTTCCGGAACAGATTACCTTCGACAACTGAGGTTCCACTGTATATTGTTTTCGGTCTACTAGAGTTTAATCACTTTTCAATATATGTTATGTGTGTTATTTCCCTCTGTTTACGGTGGCCTAGCAGTGAAAAGCACGGTAGACCATCATCAGCTGTACATTTAATTCTAGCTACATGGGGGGATGCAGGTAGCTCTGTGGTCTAAACCACTGAGCCTCTTGGGCAGGCATAGGCAAACTCGGCCCTCCAGATGTTTTGGGACTACAACTCGCATCATTCCTGACCACTGGGCCTGTTAGCTAGGGATGATGGGAGTTGTAGTCCAAAAACATCTGGAGGGCCAAGTTTGCCTATGCCTGCTCTTGGGCTTGCCGATCTGAAGGTCGGTGGTTCGAATCCCCACGATGGAATGAGCTCCCGTTGCTCTGTCCCAGCTTCTGCCAACCTAGCAGTTCGAAAGCACGCCAGTGCAAGTAGATAAATAGGTACCACTGCGGTGAGAAGGTAAATGCCATTTCCGTGCGCTCTGGTTTCTGTCATGGTGCTCCGTTGTGCCAGAAGCGGTTTAGTCATGCTGGCCACATGACCTGAAAAGCTGTCTGTGGACAAACGCCGGCTCTCTCGGCCTGAAAGCGAGATGAGCACTGCGAGTCCATAATTGCCTTTGACTGGACTTAACCTTCCAGGGGTCCTTTACCCTTTTTACTTTTACCTGTAGTAATAATCATGGCTATATCTACAGTAATAGCTAGCGATGGAACACCACTTTCATTCTGAGGCAGCCTTAACGTTTAAGACAAAAATGAATTTTCAAAAAGGTTTTAATATATGTGTCCAGGGGTCCTTTACCTTACAGTAGTACCTCTGGTTAAGAACTTAATTTGTTCCGGAGGTCTGTTCTTATCCTGAAACTGTTCTTAACCTGAGGTACCACTTTAGCTAATGGGGCCTCCTGCTGCCGCCGCACGATTTCTGTTCTCATCCTGAGGTAACGTTCTTAACCCGAGGTACTACTTCCAGGTTAGTAGAGTCTGTAACCTGAAGCATTTGTAACCCGAAGCGTTAACCCGAGGTACCACTATCCTAGCAGCTTGCATTTGTGGTTTGCTCTCTTCATTCTTACGAAAAGGATGAAACGTGCTAACATTTGGGGCTGGTTCTAACATTTGGGGCTGGGTGTTTTTTTGGGTCTCCCTCCTTATCTCTGTTTTATTCTCAACTTCTTTCCTTCTCCTTTCCCTTTCAGCATGGGCTTTCTGCTGAACCAGTCTGGCCACCTGCACTCCCATTCGCATTCCCCTGCCCCTGTTCCTCCCTCCAGTTCCTCTTCTGCCTCAACTCCTGGGCACGGGCACAGTCACGGCAGCCTGGCAGTGAGGGCCGCCTTTGTGCATGCCCTGGGAGACCTGGTGCAAAGCATCGGCGTTCTTGTAGCTGCTTACATCATTCGTTTCAAGGTAGGGCTTTTCATTAGACTTGCAAACAAAGGCATTTCTCACCTTGGGCTGGCCAGCGCTTGAACTCCACAGGAACCTGTATGTGCTCTTAACTTTCCCCCCCAGTGTGCAGGGTTTTGCATGCAGAACTGTAGTTCTGCTTAGCTCAGTGGGGAAATTATTGTGGAGCTTCCACCCCTTCCAGGAACTGCAGGGTTGGACAAATTAGGATCTGGGGGCTAGGTGCTGGGGATATACAGGTGATGCATTTCAGTGGCATGCTGTTACATATTTAATTTTTAGCAGTGGGGAGGGGGAGTGTGTCAATAATAATAATAATAATATAGGGACGCAGGTGGCGCTGTGGGTTAAACCACAGAGCCTAGGACTTGCCGATCAGAAGGTCGGCAGTTCGAATCCCCGCAACGGGGTGAGTGCCCATTGCTCGGTCCCAGCTCCTGCCAACCTAGCAGTTTGAAAGCACGTCAAAGTGCAAGTAGATAAATAGGTACCGCTCCGGAGGGAAGGTAAACGGCATTTCCGTGCGCTGCTCTGGTTTGCCAGAAGCGGCTTAGTCATGCTGGCCACATGATCCGGAAGCTGTACGCCGGCTCCCTCAGCCAATAAAGCGAGATGAGCGCCACAACCCTGGAGTCGGCCACGATTGGACCTAATGGTCAGGGGCCCTTACCTTTACTACTAATAATATATTTATACCCCACCCATCTTGCTGGGTTTCCCCAGCCACTCTGGGCAGCTCCCAACAGAATATTAAAAACACGATAAAAGATCAAACATTAAAACTCCCCTAAGCAGGGCTGCCTTCAGATGTCTTCTAAAAGTCAGATAGTTGTTTATTTCCTTGGCATCTGATGGGAGGGCGTTCCACAGGGCGGGTGCCACCACCGAGAAGGCCCTCTGCCTTGTTCCCTGTAACTATGGGATATGGAAAATTTGAACAGCTTGCCTTGCTTAAATCAGCCTAGCGGCACACGGAATATCAGATTATCTGTTCTGTATATAGAATCATAGGATTGTAGAGTTGGAAAGGGACCGCACGGATCAGCTAATTCAACCCCCTGCAATGGAATCGAACCTGCAACCTTGGCGTCACCAGCACCACGCTCTAACCAACTGAGCTGAGCGCCTGCCCCCTCTCCCGCTACGTTTTCTTGGCTTAGCATGATGTATGTCCTCTGGGTGCAATCCTCTGATGGGAGTTTGCCTCGCCGCAAAATGCTTTGCCCCATACCTGCTTACTGAAATAGGCAAGGAAAGCTCTCCTTTTTGTTTGGGAACGGCAGGGAGTGTCATCTGCGGTGATGAGAGGCAGGGCCTTTTTTCCTTTTGGGCCAGTTCAGTGGCGCTTCTTCCAAGAGAAGCCTGTGAATGCTCAAAACAATTGATGTGTAGAATCATTGTCAACCTACCTTTCTATGCATTGTAGTACTCGATACATATTTATATTTTAAAACCAGCGTAGATTTTTAAAATGTTATTTAGAAACAGTTATAGGCCTCTTAATCAAAAAGATTCTCTCTCTATATATATGGAGAATTTTTATATATTTATATTTATATTTATAAATATATAAAAATTCTCCATATAGAGAGAGAGAGAATAGGGACGCGGGTGGCGCTGTGGGTAAAAGCCTCAGTGCCTAGGGCTTGCAGATTGAAAGGTCGGCGGTTCGAATCCCCGCGGCGGGGTGCGCTCCCGCCGTTTGGTCCCAGCGCCTGCCAACCTAGCAGTTCGAAAGCACCCCCGGGTGCAAGTAGATAAATAGGGACCGCTTACTAGCGGGAAGGTAAACGGCGTTCCGTGTGCTGCGCTGGCTCGCCAGATGCAGCTTGTCACGCTGGCCACGTGATCCGGAAGTGTCTGCGGACAGCGCTGGCTTCCGGCCTATAGAGTGAGATGAGCGCACAACCCCAGAGTCTGTCAAGACTGGCCCGTACGGGCAGGGGTACCTTTACCTTTACCTTTATTTATATTTATATATTGTATTATTAAATTATATATATACACACATATGCATATACACACACACACATATATATATATATGTATGCGTATGTGTGTGTGTGTGTGTGTGTAAGCATATATATATATATATATATATATATATACATGCATACATATACATACACACACACACACACACACACACGTTTGATATTTTATTTTAAAATTATTTATATATATATTTATTTTGTATTTTTATGTTGTGAACTGCCCTGAGATCTGTGGATGAAGGGCAGTATACAGATTTATTTATTTATTTGAAAAATAAATAATAATAATAATAATAATAATAATAGATTAAACCATCTTAATCTGCTCCCTGCTGCAAGGCCCATTTCCACCCGGCCTGAGGAGCAGGGCCCACACTCATCCTGAATAGCTAAAAGGCTCCTGGGAGGGCACTGGGACATTGCTGGAACAACACAACTGACTAAAATGTTTTAAACGGTTCTAATTTTGGTTCCTCCGTTTCATGTTTGTTGGGTTGGTGTCGGTTAAATGTTTAGTTGGGGTTGACGGTTATTTTAGTTTGGGTATAACTATAAACTATTGGTTTTTTTATTGATTTATTGGTTTGTTTGTCGCTTGTATCGGATATTTGTTTTTTAATGTTTGATGTTTTGTTGTGTTTTATATGTTGTAAGCCGCCCAGAGTGGCTGGGGAAACCCAGCCAGATGGGTGGGATATAAATTAAACATTATTATATTATAGTTATTTATGCAGATGTAATCTTACCAGGCTTTAACCTCCTTTGTTTCAGCCAGAATACAAGATTGCGGACCCTATATGCACATATGTATTCTCAGTCCTGGTGGCTTTCACAACATTTCGGATCATCCGGGACACCGGAATAATTGTACTTGAAGGTAATGACTCATCGAACTCCTATATTTGAGGTGCCCTTTCAAGAGCAGATAGAAGCAATGAGCAAGTGGACGCAACAATGGCTGTACTACTTACCGTATTTTTTGCTCTATAGGACGCACTTTCCCCCCTCCAAAAATTAAGGGGAAATGTGTGTGCGTCCTATGGAGTGAATGCAGGCTCCTTGGCTTCAGTGATAGCAGCGCGAAGCCTCCGAAGCGCAGAGGGAGCGCTCCTTCCGCCCTCCAGAAGTGTCGCGTTGCTTTCGCTGAAGCCTGGAGAGCGAGAGGGGTCAGTGCGCAACGACTCCTCTCGCTCTCCAGGCTTCAGGGATAGTCGCCTGAAGCCTCTGGAGCACAGTGGGAGGTCCCGCTGCGCTCCGGAGGCTTCAGGTTCCTTTCACTGAAGCCAGGAGAGTCTTGTGGGAGGTCCTGCTGCGCTCGGAGGCTTTGGGTTCCTTTTGCTGAAGCCGGGAGAGCAAGACTCTCCTGGCTTCAGCAGGGAGGGAGAGCTGTGCAGCTCCCCTTCAGCCAAGCGGGAGGAGAAATGGAAGGGGCTCCGTTTCTCCTGCCGCTTCGCTGAAGGGGCGCTGAGCAGAGAGGGGGAGAATTTTTTTCCCCTTCTTCTCCCCCTCTAAAACAAGGTGCGTCCTATGGTCGGGTGCGTCCTATAGAGCAAAAAATACGGTGCTTTGATTTTCTAAATAACTTTCAAAATCTTGATCAATAGTTTTGAAAGATTTATGCATTTCACTGTATGTGGTTGTCTTACGAGGTGATTTGGCACTGAATCTCAGCCGGGCATCTGAGATTTACTCAAAATCTTCGTCGATCATTTCAGTCGTGCTCAGGCCCCCCCCCCCACCAAGCCAGAACTCAGTGAAACTCAGGTGGGTGCCATTGCCATGCTAAGAGAATGAGGGAGGTGTGGAAAGAAGAAAGACTCCCTACCAGAGAGGAATGGCAAACTAAGCTGTTGGATTGTGCCAAAATAGCAAAATTGACCGGAAAGCACAGGAACCCAGAAGACAAAAACTTCAAGAAAGAATTGGGGGGGGGATTATAATTTATTTAGGAACCTGCTGTAAGCAGATGAAAACATTAGCAGGATTTTAATAACACTTGTAATGTAACAAATAATATGGACAATATGGACAGATACAAAATATAGATTATAAAATAATATGCAGTTGAAAATGTTGACAATAGGACCCAGGAAGGGGATGGTGGGAAGTCTTGAGATTCAGAGAAATCTCTTTACAGTGGTACCTCGGGTTACAAACGCTTTGGGTTACAAACGCTTTGGGTTACAAACTCTAACCTGGAACCTAACCTGGAAGTAGTTACCTCGGGTTGCGAACTTTGCCCCAGGATGAGAACGGAAAAAGTGCACCGGTGGTGTGGCAGCAGCGGGAGGCCCCATTAGCGAAAGCGCACCTCAGGTTAAGAACGATTGCGGGTTAAGAACGGACCTCTGGAACGAATTAAGTTCGTAACCCGAGGTACCACTGTATATGAATATGTATTTCGTATTCTTATAACTTGGTATTTGTAAAATGAAATAAAAGCGATTTCAGAGAATGAGGGAGGTGTTCGTGGTGAGTTCTGGCACCTCTTTTTCTAGAAAAATAGCACTGGTTGTACTTCACCCAGAGGACTTTAACTTTTTATTATGCTGTCAACTGAAACACATGTTTTTCTGGGAGATTCCACAAGTTACCAGCTATCAGCCAACAGTGTCAGAAGCTGTGCTAGCTGTTGTTGACGGATAACCCTAATAAGGCAGTTCCAAATGATGCAAATGTCTCTCCCATTCTTTACTGAATGTTGATTCCCTTTTATACTGCAGATTAACAAGAACTCATCCATCAAATTCCTAGCCAGCTGCCATGAATTGTTTTCATCTTATGTTAACAGCTTCATGCAGGTCTTTTGCAATCTCAACCCAATTCTAGATTTGCCTTCTTGTGTTTACTCAGGTGTAGGGCTGTGTGATAAATCACCATATTGAAATCACATCCTGATAAGTGTTTCAACAAGGCAATATACCTGTAAACAAAAGGTGAACACTTAACAAATTCCCAGGGCTTTTTTGAAAAAATAAATTTTATTAATTTTTCTGTTTTACAATTTAGAATACTCATTTAAACATCCTTAAAGTATCAATGACTTCCCTTCTTCTCTTTCCATGGTTCATTTTGCATATCATAAATCTCTGCATATGTTACAAAAACCATACCATTCAGTATTCCATTTTTGCATCCATCAAAACTTATTTACACTGTTGAATTTATCTTAATGCTGCCTGTGTTTTCAAGTGTACACAATTTCCCCCCATATATTCAATAAACTTTTCCTAATCTTCTCTAAACATACCGTATTGGCCCGAATATAAGACGCACCTTTAAAATTCCATAGGCACTCACACCCGTTCGTTCCGTTTTACCGTATGTCTGTTCCAGCAGCGACATCATAAAAGCCAGTTTTTGTCACGAATTTAAGCCACACTTTAACTTTTCACGGTAGAAATTTGGAAAATAAAATAAAATGAGGCTTATATTCAGGCCAATACGGTATGTTCTTCTTGTTCTCTTATTCTATATGTTATGTCTGCAAGCTGCGCATATTTTGTCAGCTTAACTTTCCATTCTTCGTTTAAGTTGGGACAGCTTCCAAGGGCTCGTGTTGAGAAAAGCCCGCTTTATAACATTATTGTAGAAGGAGCTTGAGGACGCCGCTTGGGTTCAACCTCAGGCTAGACTTGCTGAGTAATGGCGGCGCTTCGACCGCACGGGGTGAGCTTTGTCGTTCGGTCCAGCTCTGCCCACCAGCAGTCGAAGCACCCCTGTGCAAGTAATAAAATACCGTTTATAGCGGAGGTAAACAGCGTTCCGTTGCTTGGTGCTGCTCGCCAGAGCACTTCGTCACGCTGGCCAGTGACCAGAGGTCTTTGGACACGCTGCCCGCCTCTTAAGGAGATGGCACGCAACCTAGAGTCGGACAACTGGCCGTACGGGCAGGGGTACTTACTTTCGAGGACTTGCTTCAAAACTTTAGTTAAGATTCCACAGTTTAGTTTTTGAATATGATGTTAAAATGTTCTAAGCGGCACTGCCCATCTCTTTGTTGCAACTATGCCACTGGATGGGAGGGGCAACTGTAGCTTCTTCAGTGCTGAGTGAAAACTGGGCCAATTTGTCAATGGTTCTCCAAAATTGTTAAGAACCAGTGCACTACTATTTCCGAATTAATGTTATCACTTCAAAGTGACTAATAACATTTCAGTTCCTAGAAATGCAGAAGATGAAAATGTTTACAGGAGTGTTTTCCCTTGAGGCACTTTCACAATGTGACTAAATGGCTGCTTTTTATCCTTTTCTAAATACTCTGCTCAAGTTTAATATAATGGCATCACATAATAATCAACAATAATTCTAAACATCTAAAACTCATGTCCTCCTTATAGGAGTTCCAAGGCATTTGAATGTGGATCGCATTAAAGAGGAGCTAATGAAAATTGAAGATGTGTTTTCAGTGGAAAGCCTGAATATTTGGTCGTTGACTGCTGGAAAAACCATTGCCATAGTCCACTTGCAATTAGGTAAAACTGGGAAGCAGGCAGAGCTAACGGTTGTGTTAATAAAGCAGAATCGTGATTAAATTCAATCAATAAATTAAATTTTTTTTGGGGGGGGTCATATTTGTGGTTTGTTAACTATAAATTAATTTATTGTTTCCTGTGTTCTGTTTCTAGATCAGGGATGGGAATATGGGGTCATTTAAATGTTGCTGGACTTCAGTTGCAGTCATCTTTGACAATTGACCATTATTCTCCTCACAGAGCTACAATTTCCCTCTCAGCACATTATAGCTCCCATAATTACCGTATTTTTTGCTCTATAAGGCTCACTTTTTCCCCTCCTAAAAGTAAGGGGAAATGTGTGTGCGTCTTATGGAGCGAATGCAGGCTGCGCAGCTATCCCAGAAGCCAGAACAGCAAGAGGGATTGCTGCTTTCACTGCGCAGCGATCCCTCTTGCTCTTCTGGCTTCTGAGATTCAGAATATTTTTTCTCTTGTTTTCCTCCTCCAAAAACTAGGTGTGTCTTGTGGTCTGGTGCGTCTTATAGAGCGAAAAATATGGTATTTGGGGGAAGCCGGCACTCTTGAAAGTGGCATCCCGGTGCTTTAGATGTGTGATGTGAAAGTAGCCTCTCTTCCCACAGCCCCTTGCCCAGAAGTGCTTTGGAGATATCTGCCATTTTCCTCCCCCCCCCAACCCACCGATACGATCGCTCTGCCCATGTTTGGGTGGTACTTACTGTGTCTTCCTTGCTTTCCAGTTCCTGGCAGTTCATCAAAGTGGGAGGAAATCCAGTCGAAGGCCCGGCGGTTGTTGCTGAGCACATTCGGAGTCTATCAATGTTCAATCCAGCTTCAGAGTTACAGGCGAGAAGAGAACAAACCATGCGCAAGCTGCCAGAATTCCAGTGCCTAATTTTTCCACGCTTTTTTCCTTTTTCTTTTTGGGAGGACTCGCTGCCTTATTCTTCTTAACCTTTGCAGCCAAAAGACCACGAAGCAATAAATGCAAGATTTGCAAACAGAACGGAATCCCTTGGGGCTGGACTAGTATTGGCAATCCTCTTGCAACAAGAAGGGTTTGGAACGGGGTCAGAATTATCCTTTCCGTGAAAACGAGTTGTAACTTTCTCTCTCTGCCGTTCCTTTCGGCCAGGGTTTTCATGCCAATATCTATACATATCCAACAAATTGTTTACAGATCACGTTGCGGTTGGCGGATACCTCGTAGAGCACACTCCCTCGTTGCCATTTGTTAACTTCCAACAGTGCTTGCCTGCTTTCCTAAAGGGCGCCAAGAATTAACTACTTGAGTTTAAAAAGAGTTGCCAAGGTTGATCATGTCTGTGATCAAAAAGGTTAATGATCCCTGAACTGGTTACACCGTATTTTATCTCTCTCCAACAGCTATGTTTTTTTTTTACTACCTTGCCTAAAACAAAAACGATGCTGCAGGTATAGCAGAACATTTTTTTATAAGTTGTCTCTCTTCATTCAAACTTGAATACATATTGAGAAGTATAGCTTTTGCAGTAACCAGTCCTGGAAATTTTAGCTTTAACCTACGATCCAAACCAGAAAAGGTCTTTTCCTGGGACAAGCTATCGGTTGTTTATCTGAAGACTTTGGGGCTGGACCCACTACGTTTGTAAGGAATAGTTCTCTCTCGTATCTTTCGGCGTAGGACTTTTACCATAGAAAAGCATATTTAAATTTCTTTTCAAATATATATATAATTTACTTTGAGACGATTCTTATCGATCTTCTTGGATATCTAACATTTTAACCTGCTTCAAGAGGCTGTTTGGTTAAGCATGAACCTTAATTCTAGTGAATAAATATGTCGTAGGGGACTTTTTGTGATTGATTTGCCTCTTGCAAGAGAGGGGGGGCATTATAGAAACCACATTTAAAGCAGAGATCCAATCAGTAGATGTACTGTAGAATAGCCTGCACCAACTCTGTGCCCTGCAGATGTTGTACAGCTGCCATCATCCCCAGCCAGCACAGAATTGTGGTCCATCTGGAGGGCACTGGGTTGGTGAAAGTTGTAGACATTCAGGAAATAAAGAGAACAAAGGCTTCAGATACACTGCAGCCCCCGAAACTTACAATTGTGAGCATATGGTTTCCATTTCACCTTGACATTTCCTCCTGATAAATATCGATTTTGCATGGTAATGTATGCTAACGTGTGCCAGTGAAATGTTAGTGATTTGGTGAACTGTACTGCCTTTTAGTCAAACAGAAGGACACCCACTGTCCATTTTTTTTTGGTTGTCGTTCTTCTCCTAGCAGTCTAAAAGTAAAATGTTCCAATTTTTTTTTTACCTGTGTTGAATTGCAGGCCTTCAGAACTCTTTTCCAGGCACCAAATTATTGCTGGATTCTTCCTAAAACTTTTGAGTATAGAGAAGGTGAAATCAGGAGAAAGAACTGCAAGACAAGAGATGTTTCTTCTGGAGCATAGCTAATCCAAAGCCAGATACCATGAGAATTAGTGGTGTAGAAATTTATATTTTAAAAATGCCAGGGATTTGACCTCCGACTCTTTACATCTAAACAGAACTATCGGTGTGAATAAGATTGCGGTGTAACAAATCCATGGTATAATCTCTTGGAAAGGTTTGATCTTCAACTCTGAAATCCGGAGCAATCAATATTTTAAAACTTAGCTTGCCACATTTTATTTTCCTCCATAGTTTTTGTATCGCCCGTAAATAGGGCTAAAGAAGCCAAAAAAGAAAATAAGCCCACTTAATCCCAACAAACAACAGAAATAAGTATCAGCGTTAACAATTGGCAGCATGTTTTGACTAATTGGATAACTATTTCGCTGTTTGGAGCATAATAGTTTGAAATCTGTTCTTTTTCCTTCACAGAAGAGACACTTGTTATTGTTTTTAAGGACCAATATCTTCTCATGAAGGGTGACTTTTAAAATTAACACTTCATGAAAGCAATATGCATAGTTATTTAACTTTAAATTATTATTCAAATGCTTCATGCAAAGGAAGGATGACCAGATTTTATTGGACTCTAGTGCGCATTGACAATTGGCTAAAACTGATGGAATCTGGAGTTCAACAAGATCTGGAGAGCAAGCGATTCCTTGAAGAGCAAACTCTCTCCAAGTATCTTAGGAGATGGTACACTGATGGATAAAAATATGCCCATTTGCTGGATTTTATGTTGCTTGGGCCTAGCCAACTTTCCCCCCTTCTGCTCAACCCCAAGACGAAATTTCAGTATTAGAATGAGCAAGCTGCACTAAATGATATCGAAATGAAGAACTGGCATATTTGGGACCCTGTTGTTTTGATACACGACAATAGAAATGCAAAGCCATATCTCAGTTTGTGAAACTTTTTGTGTATCCCTTCTTTATGACCTTTTCGGAAGTCAGGTATTTTTGCACACAAATGGATATTCATAATGGGTATTTCATTAAACTGGGGTTTACAGTACACCTAATTAGAAACGGGGGGGGGGGGGTTGGTAGATCTGTACTGTACTTGGAGGTTTTTTTAATTGTAATTATATACTATATATTTGTTTAATGAAACAAATGTGTTGCTTTACTGTGGATTTATTAAATTGATTATTATACTGCCCACTTCTGAGTTATTCTTATTACTCTTTTGTGAACTCTGAGCTCACTTTGGATTGCAGATGAGTAGATAAGTGATGATTTTTATTTTATTTTTTTGCTTGCCTAGCCAAGAGCAGACTTTAAAGTGCCTGGGCAAATAGAGTTAAGTTTTGACCTGGCACCGAAACAGTTGTAGAGTCAGTGCCAGACATACCTCCATAGGGAGGGCATTCCAATGGTATTGTACCGTCGCTTGGAAGTATAAGCCCTGTTTCTTTATCTCAGTGGTATGTGTGCATTTGTGCAATGAGAGTTACAGTATTTTTTGCTCTATAAGACTCACTTTTTCCCTCCTAAAAAGTAAGGGGAAATGTGTGTGTGTCTTATGGAGCGAATGCAGGCTGCGCAGCTATCCCAGAGGCCAGAACAGCAAGAGGGATTGCTGCTTTCATGCGTAGCAATCCCTCTTGCTGTTCTGGCTTCTGAGATTCAGAATATTTTTTTTCTTGTTTTCCTCCTCCAAAAACTAGGTGGGTCTTGTGGTCTGGTGCATCTTATAGAGCGAAAAATACGGAAACTGCTGTTTTCAATCTACGTACAGTATTTCTATATTTTATTCAAAGGACAGGTGAGGCCCTGTGCTTAATCATAGAGTGCAGTGTGTGTACGTACACTAGTGGCCACAATTGTGGGAAACTTTTGGGGAAAGTGTATTTCTGAAGCTTGATGGCTCATAACACCATTTTTTTTTTTTAGTAATACCATAATATTATATATCAATGGAAAGATAATTTAATGAAGAATGGAATTCAACAACGTTTGTTGAATTATCTGTATTCTATCAAAAGTTATAGCCAAATAACAAGAAAAAGGAAGCACAACTTGCTTAGGTTGATATGCGGTAAGCTTTCCTTCATTTGAATGTAGCCAATGAGCATGAGTGTTTAGAGAGCCAATCAGGTGTTATCAGCCATCAAACCTCGGAAATACACTTTCCCCCCGAAAGGTTTCCACAATTTTGGCCACTAGTGCACAGAAGTTTGGGTTCCTCCACAGCAAGGCCAGTAATGACAGCGCCAAACTTAATCTCTTCCAGAAGTCTGTTTGATTTCCAAAATGTTCAAAAACCAAGGCTCAGCTTCTGATTGGTGCAGGCGCCCCAGAAACAATAGCTGACAGCCGCATCGGACGTTTCGCTTCCGAAAAACATTCGCAAACCAGAACACTTCCGGGCTTTCAGCATTTGGGAACCAAGGCATTTGAGAACCGTGGTACCACTGTATTGTCTATATTGACTGGCAACGACTCCCAGATTTCAGTCCGTGGCCATGTTGTTAATAGTCTCTCCCAGCCCTACCTAGAGATGCTGGGAATTTGAACCTCAGATATTCTGCCCCCAAGACTGATACAGTGGTACCCTGGGTTACATACGCTTCAGGTTACAGACACTTCAGGTTACAGATGCCGCTAACCCAGAAATAGTACCTCGGGTTAAGAACTTTGCTTCAGAATGAGAACAGAAATCGTGCTCCGGTGGCGTGGCAGCAGCAGGAGGCCCCATTAGCTAAAGTGGTGCTTCAGGTTAAGAACAGTTTCAGGTTAAGAACAGGCCTCCGGAACGAATTAAGTTCTTAACCCGAGGTACCACTGTACTCTTATTAGGGAGCCAAGGTCAACAGATTATTGCAATTTACATCGCAGAGAAAGCTTCCTCCTTCCTGTTCCATTGTTTACAGCAGAAAGAGCCAGTACAATGGCAAGCTCAACATGCCAAAACCACCCCACAAAGAACAAGAAGAACAGTCCTTCTTGATAAGGTCAGAGGAGGCCTGTCAAGGTGACCTGTAAGCAACAGCACTCTCCATTTGCAATTGCCAGCTACTAGTTAAGGTATATCTTCTTCTTTGGCAATCCCTCGTAGCTGAGTAAGATTGTCTTCCATGAACACAGTCTTAACAGTGAGTCCGTAAGTGACTGTGGAAGCCAATTCTGGATCCACATGTCCTTCCACAGTGGGGACATTGGTGTCCTGGTGGGAGTTGATTATGGTGAGGGTTTGCCAATCATCCCTTCCTCTTAGCGTGTTTCTCCCTTTCGTCCTGAGTTCAAGCGTCTTCAAAGTCCATGACACCTTTGGTAATGGCTGTTTTCTAACTGGAACTCTCGCAGGCCAGTGTTTCCCAGTTGTTGGTGTTTATACTACATTTTTAAAGATTTGCCTTGAGAGAGTCTTTAAAGCTCTTTTCTTGACTACCATCATTACGCTTTCCATTTTTAAGTTCAGAATAGAGTAGTTGCTTTGGAAGACGATAATCAGACATCTGCACAACATAACCAGTCCAAGAAGGTTGATGTTGAAAAATCACTGCTTTGACACTGGTGAACTTTGCTTCTTCCAGTACACTGGCATTAGTTCGCCTGTCTTCCCGAGTGATCTGTAAAATTCTATACAGGCATACTGCCTCTGACGACAATGTGTGATGCTATTGTAATGTGCGATTGCCACTTAAAGGTGGCAAAAGTATTCCTCTTTGCCTCTCTGTGCGTTTGGTGCCACCCAGAGGAAATCCTCTGCTGTTCCTCAAAAAACATAATCCACACCGTCCGAAATGGTGACTTGGCTTTCTTTCCGTTAGGAGAGCTAAAAGGCAAAGCCTTGAGGAAGTTAATGATTTCTCACAGAATTGCAGGAAAACACGACTGAACTTGTTTTGCAAGTGAATTGTTTCAAAAGCAACATTGCAGGGCCTTCTTCACACTGCGTTGAGGGCTCATTTTTTGGCCTACCTGGAAACGCGGCATTTGCACCGCGAAACGTTGTAGGAGGCAATTTGCAGGTGTTTGGCACTGTTTTCTAGTGAATCGGAAGACGCCTGAATTTTAGTGAAAACTGTGACCCGTGGGTAAGGTCGCTGAGGGCTCATTTTTTTGCCTACCTGGAAACACAGCGTTTGCACCACCAAATATTGCAGGGGGCAATTTGCAGGTGTTTGGCACAGTTTTAGAGTGAATGGGAGGATGTCAGAATTTTGGCAAAAACCGTGACTATCGTGGGGACAGCCTGAGTGCTGCTGAGGGTGCCTGGCCAGCTGACCAAGGGAAGGAGGGGGGCAGAACAAGCACCTCTGCCATTCTGCCCATGCCCACATCGCCACTAGTTGTCAATGCTTGCTGCTCCTGCCTGGGCACACGACAGCCTGACCCCTGGCACGGAAGGAGGGGGTCAAGGGACTGGGGCTAGACGGACCTGCTCCCCCACTCCAGCCCAGCCCTATTTTGCTCAGGTTGGCACCACAACCTCCTGGCACATGTGGGGAATGGATTCCCCGTGGAATTAACATACCACAACTTCTATCTGTTTCCCTTTCCCTCAGGTGAAATCTTTCAATGGAGAATGAATCACGAGCCACGGTGGGTTTTTCTTTTGCGAAAACTTTTTGCAAGCAAACTTTATTTGACCAAACTGCAGGAGGCAGTGGAAGACAAGAGTCCATGGGGTCACGAAGAGTTGGACACGACTAAACGACAACAACGAAACCAGGAGTTTTTGGTTCTTCTTCTTCCACAGAAATGTAACAAACACTGCTGTTGCTTATTATGAACGTATACAGTGGTACCTCGGGTTAAGTATTTAATTCGTTCTGGAGGTCTGTTCTTAACCTGAAACTACTTAACCTGAAGCACCACTTTAGCCTATGGGGCCTCCTGCTGCTGCTGCGCTGCCGGAGCATGATTTCTGTTCTCATCCTGAAGCAAAGTTCTTAACCTGAGGTAATATTTCTGGGTTAGCAGAGTCTGTAACCTGAAGCGTATGTAACCTGAAGCGTATGTAACCTGAGGTACCATTGTACTGTATGATGTATGCTGTTCAGGTTTAAGGTTACTTTCTTTCATAGATCAGACTTCTCCACACACACTTCAGGAACCTAGGATTTCAACTGGACTGTTTCCTTACAGACCCCCAAACCCTCCTTGGCCTTGGAATCACTACTGCCCTTTCCAATCAGAGTATTCCCTCTGTGGACCTTTTTTCCTGTAAAATACCGTGTGGGACTGTGTCTTGTCTATTTTAAGTGTTCTGCGATTCAGAACCTTAGAGTATGTCCGACTAGAGATGGGAAGGCCTGGAAAACCCCCGGAAAAATTGGGGGGGAAACAGTCGTCCCCCATTTTCCCAGTTTTTCCCCAGGCCTTCCCATCTCTAGTCAGAACGAACTCTCCTGACAGAATCCCCCTCACAGACCAAATGAATCTCTCACACAGTTTCTCACTCCAGTCCAACTGCCTCCCTTGGAACTCTGGCCAATCAGAAGCTGTTGCTAGGTAACTGTTTGCTGGCAGGGGATAAAAACACACTTGGTGACTCAACAAACCTTTCCATCACAGAAGGCAGCTGACTTCATAGCTGAACTTGCTCAAAACAAGGTTTCACAGCCTAATCCCTAAGCTTTTAGTTTTGCTGTCAAGGAGGGGTTTTTAAAACCCAGTTCAGCTCAAATTTGTGGGTATATGGAGGGATACATTTCAATTAACGTATACTCTCCTTCCCGTTCAAACCCACCCCACACAGTGGCAAGATCGTGAAAGTTTGGGAAATTCTCTTGGAAAATGATCTAGAACACGTTTAGGAAAAAACGAGTCCGTAGTTTGACATTTAATGAAACGACCCTGTGACTTCAGGGTGTGATGTGTGCGCAGCCTTAGAGTTAAGAGAATAGAGGCATGGAAAGGCCATATGGTTCAACCTTGTCACCAACCAGATATTGACAACAGAAAGTATCATCTGGGGACCACAGCTGAGGACCTGCCAAGTTTGTCAACAGCTGTGGACAAGTCAAGACAGGGAGCCAAGCCACATGCACCACTTACAGGTGACAACAACAACAACAACAACAACAACAACAACAACAACAACAACAATTCTATGCCACTCCTCTTCTCTGGGCATCGGAGCGCCTCCTACCTTCACAGTTCTTTCTCATCATGATTTGTCTCAGTAAGTCTCTCACCATCATCTGACAGGC